GCCCAGAAAATTCATGAGGATGATATATGCAGACCAAGAGTCAAAACTCTTTGCTTGTTTTGAGGAGACCAACAAATAACTGTTTCCCCCAAGGGTCTCCAATTCCCCTGAATTAACTTACTTTGAGGGAAATCTTGACCTTTCTGTCACAGTCGGGGCTGCTCTCTACCTGTTGTTTTGATTCTTCTTCAGGAGGTAGTGCTGAGGGTTTAGCATTAACTCTAGTGGGAAGCTGCTGCTCTGGCTTTGGGACTTTCTAAAGTGTAAAGGCAATTGCAGTGGGTTGTTGATTTAAATTTTCTTTCTGTACCTGTCTTTTGAAGCTCTTGTTCAGTTGACTGCTCCCTATTCATTTTGTTTGTCTTTCCTTTTTGTCTCTGTTTAGGTTTCCCCATTTTTACAGCACTCTTCATCTTAGCTGTACTGGTCACAGTTTCTGCTTCTTTTATTTTAACTAAAGAATGGCATACTTCATATGCAGGGAACCCTATCAAGGACCCAAGATGGCAAGCACTATCCCCTTCCAACCTGATGGAGCAACTTTTAGGCGCTTATTACAGATGCTTACCATAAAAGTGGTGTTATCAGGCCCCTGGAAAGCAGGGGGCATAGATGACCACCCTCACTGCCAGTTTATGCAATAAAGCCATTGTTTCTTTTTCTTCTAAGGCATAGGATCCTGACATTGTAATACCTTGAATAGCCAGACTGACTGCAGACTAGGATGATTCAGTCTATCAGGGAATGATTAACATGGGAGCCATGCAGGCATCGCCTGATAGAGGAATGTGTTGTGATTTCTGTCTCACGTCCAGCCAGAACTATCCCATTAGCACCACTATCCTATAATGTTAACTGCTGAAAAGAAAGGACTATGGTGAAGGTAACTGATCTGGTGCACAACCCAAAGAAGTATATTCATTTATTGGATTGTGTGGGGAGCAACTCGGACTAGACTAAGTTACTGGAATTAAGACTTATTCTATGCATCTGCTCTCCCACAATATGGCGCTGAGAGAAAGAGACCAAACAACCTCTACGCAGCTGCCTCATCAGTTTGACAAGCTGCAGGAGCTGATCCTGCTCCTGACTGGAGGAGAGCAGTGTGCTCGGCGTGTGGGTAGCAGAGTTGGGATTGGTGGAAGAGGACTATAAAGGAGGAGAGAGACTACATGCACCAGGGAACATCTGAAGGAACATCCGGATAACATCTGAGCAGCCCCCGAGAGAGCTGGCCGGCGGTGTGCCGCTGCTCCGCGGAAGTGGGGAAAGTGGCAGGGGGAACCACCCCTCCACGGAGGTGGAGGGGTCGGCAGCCAACCCGGGAAGGACCAGCAACAAACCCGGGAAGGGCAGAGCAGACAAAAGAACAGCGCAGGGTCCTGTGTCGTTCCTCCGCGAATGGGGGAGCGACAGGATTGTATTGGAATCCCCTGGCACATTTCTAACTCCACCATTTGGGGCAACTCCTATTGAGCACGTCCCAAATTGTATATCTCCTCCCTCTCTTATTCCCACTCTTATATTTAACAGGGTTCACTTTTCAGTTAAATTTAAACACCTAAGAATAAGTTCAACCAATAGTATTAAGTAGAACAAAATACTAAAAATACTAAAAGGGATAAAGTATTAAATTGTACATCAACAGTCAGGACAAGGGCTGATCAAGTCACTGTTTCTCATAGTGTCCCTTTCACTTCAACAGGTTTCCTTTTTTGTGCTTGGTTAGTTGTCACCGATCAGGGAGAACATATGATATTTGTCCCTTTGGGACTGGCTTATTTCACTCAGCATGATGTTTTCCAGATTCCTCCATTTTGTTGCAAATGACCGGATCAAGGTTGCATGTACCAATGCCATCTCACTTGTCCAAGTGATCAATTTGAGTTCACAATTGATCATACTGATAGGTCTAAGAGTCAAAGGGATCACACAAACAAGACTAGTGTCTGCTAATACTAACTGATAGAATAAAAAAGGGAGAGAACGATCCAACATGGGAAGTGGGATACATAGCAGACTCATAGAATGGCAGATGTCCTAAACAGCACTCTGGCCTCAGAATCAGCCCTTAAGTCATTCAAATCTGGCTGAAGAGCCCATGAGAATATTTTAGGCATGGAAAGCCATAACACTCTGGCAAAAAAAACAAAAACAAACAAAAAACAAAACAAAACAAAACCAAACACCTAAATGAAAGATCTGTGTGATTGAGATCACAGTAGAAAGAACGGGCCATCAAAAAAGGAGGTACCTTTCTCGGAAGGGAGGAGAGAACTTCCACTATGACCTTGTCCAAATACGATCAGAGTTGGTGAACTCAAAAGGCTTCCATAGCCTTGGCAACTCATGACTAGAGCCTAGGGAGATTACTGACACCATAAACAAGAGTGTCAAATTGTTAAGTCAACAGCAGGACTCACTGTGTACTTAGTCCTCATGTAGGATCTCTGTCCTTAGTATGTTGTTCAATGTGAATTAATGCTATAACTAGTACTGAAACAGTATTTTACACTTTATGTTCTGTGTGGGTGCAAACTGATGAAATCTTTACTTAATATATACTACATCGGTCTTCTGTATATTAAGAGAATTGGGCCGGCGCCGTGGCTCAACAGGCTAATCCTCTGCCTAGTGGCGCCGGCACACCAGGTTCTAGTCTCGGTCGGGGCACTGGATTCTGTCCCGGTTGCCCCTCTTCCAGGCCAGCTCTCTGCTGTGGCCCGGGAGTGCAGTGGAGGATGGCCCAAATCCTTGGGCCCTGCACCCCATGGGAGACCAGGAGAAGCATCTGGCTCCTGCCTTGGGATCAGCGTGGTGCGCCGGCCACAGCGCGCCAGCCGCGGCGGCCATTGAAGGGTGAACCAATGGCAAAGGAAGACCTTTCTCTCTGTTTCTCTCTCTCTCACTGTCCACTCTGCCTGTCCAAAAAAAAAAAAAAAAAAAAAAAAAGAATTTAAAATGAATCTTGATGTGAATGGAATGGGAGAGGGAGCAGGAGATGGGAGGGGTGCAGGTGGGAGGGAAGTTATGGGGGGGGAAAAGGCATTGTAATCCATAAACTGTACTTTGGAAATTTATATTTACTAAATAAAAGTTAAAAAAGTATATTCATTTAAGGAATACTTTTGATTGGCAGGTGATGAGGACCTTGTATATGCCTGCCTGGTGGATTTTAATTTAGTTTGATGAGTGTGGGCCCTCAGACTTTGATTCTGTATTATTTTTTTTTTTTTACCAAACCCTCAGACATACTATTGTTGTCTAAGGAATTACAATTTTTTCTTCCTTCCTTCCTTCCTTCCTTCCCTCCTTCCCTCCTTCCCTCCTTCCTTCCCTCCTTCCTTCCCTCCTTCCTTCCCTCCTTCCTTCTTTCCTTCCTTCCCTCCTTCCTTCTTTCCTTCCTTCTTTCTCTCTCTCTCTCTCTCTTTCTTTCTTTCTTTCTTTCTTTCTTTCTTTCTTTCTTTCTTTCTTTCTTTCTTTCTTTCTTTCTTTCTTTCTTCTTTCTTTCTTCTTTCTTCTTCCTTCTTCCTTCCTTCCTTCCTTCCTTCCTTCCTTCCTTCCTTCCTTCCTTCCTTCCTTCCTTCCTTCCTTCCTTCCTTTCCCTCCCTCCCTCCCTCCCGTCCGTCCTTCCTTCCTTCCTTCCTTCCTTCCTTCCTTCCTTCCTTCCTTCCTTCCTTCCTTCTTTCCTTTCCCTTCCTCCCTTCCTCCCTTCCTCCCTTCCTCCCTTCCTCCCTCCCTCCCTCCCTCCCTCCCTCCCTCCCTTCCTTCCTTCCTTCCTTCCTTCCTTCCTTCCTTCCTTCCTTCCTTCCTTTCCCTCCCTCCCTCCCTTCCTTCCTTCCTTCCTTCCTTCCTTCCTTCCTTCCCCAATCTCGTGAGAAAAAGACAGTAGCTCAAAACCAGTGTTAGGTATTTTCTCACCATAGGGTTTAGTGTAGCAGCATTCCAGTATGTTTTGCTGAACCCCCCCGCCCCATGGCCCCCACACACACTTTTTCCATTTTAATGACCTTGTCTGTGATTAACAGAGTGATGTTGGAGAACAAGTCTCTTTATTTATAATTCCTCCTCCAATTTGTGTGCCTTGTTTTTGGCTGCTATCTATAGAGCCTCTATTATCAGGTGAACTTCCCACAACAGAGGCCAGCCTATCCCCACTGCTATCTGTGGGTTTCCTTGCTGGCCACTGGCAATTTCAAGCCCTCCATAAGACAGTCAGGCGTGCTAAAGGTTTTGAAACCTCTCTGCATTAACAAGACTATTTGCAGGCTTCAAGCAAATAGGCCGCAGAGCTCCACAAAGATCTTCGCAGGCATCCAGGGCTCTTCTTGGTTAGTTCTTCCTCTTCCTCTTCGTCATATTTTTTGGAATCCTGTCAATGATACTGATTGTTCTGAATCTGTGGCTGGAGTCCCCCCAAAAGCAGCAAAGGGAGTTTCCATGAGAGAGTGTCCCAACCTGTCCCAAGATGGGGCCAGCTGGGATTCCAGAATATGAAGCCCCCAACATTTGTTGGGGAAATTGTGGGGTGTTGCAATGTGTCCTTACAGTGGACAGTGATGTTTGCTTAGGTATGTCCACAGTGAAGGGGTCAGGCTTGGAGTTTATGTGAGGGTTTAAGGAATTTTGCCTCAGGACAGGGCCAGTTTTTGCCATATCCCCCCCCCCCCCCCGATGTTTTGGGCAACAGCCCAAATACATTTATCATTGCTTGGGAATATTTAAACCTCTGGCTTGGGTTCAAGCCTGCTGGGAAAAACCTGCAGGTGGCTGGGTCATAGAGTAATTGAGATACACTCTGATATTTTGTCAGGACACAGAAAGAAAGAGATAGAGTGGGATAGGATGAGGGTGGGGACTGCGATGGCCATATAGCACCCAAAATAAATGATCATTTTTTTTTCTGCTCTAAGAGTAGCTAATGCTATGCTAAAGATTTAGAAAATCAAGTTTATCTGATACAGTTTAACTTTTTTAAAAATGCATTCATGTTTCTATAGATGAAAAGAAGTGAAGAATTGATAACTAAACTTCATGATCAAGAAGAAATAAGTATTCTTCGTTGCTGGAAATGTAGAAAATGTATAGCAAATTCTGGTTGCTTCATGAAATATCTTGAGAATCAAGTGAATACGGTAAGTGTTGTTAGCTTCATCTTACTACCTTCCACACTTAAGTTTAATTTTAGCTTTTACCTGCTAATGTTCCAGTTTTAAATGCAGTGTTGCACACATAAGTTAAGGATATTATACCATGTTTTTAAAAATTTTTTTATTTTTATTTTTTAATAGAAAACTTTAATAAATATAAATTTCAAAAGTACAACTTTAGGATTATAACACTTAGACCGTGTTTTTTATCCTTACCATGAGTATACTGTAGTGACCACCACACAGTTAAATTCAGGAACGTAGTTAGAAATGGAAAGCTTATTTATGGTTTATTTCATATTCATTAAGGATCTAGAAGACAAACTTCATATATAATAGAAAAGTAACCCATACAAAAATTGGAATAGTATTTAAAAACATTTGACTAGTCATCCCAATACAAGTAAATGTTAAAATAGCAAAAACAAAATTTCTAACCTTCTCTGAGAGTAAACAAAGAGGTGCAAAACAGCGAATTCTGAATTAAGCAGTGAGCATTATATAAATGAGTCATTGTTGTCTTTTTTATTGTTTGTTTTTGTTTATGTGTGTGTGTGCACGTGCGCACCATCTATACTTGATCATGAATATTTCCTCTGCACTGTAACAGATTGGACAACCAGAACTGATAATAGCAGATAACTTTAAACCTTTTTTAATTTAAATTTTAATTTACTTGAAAGGGAGAGAGGGAGGGGGGAAGGGAGAGAGAGAGAGGGAGGGAGGGGAGGGGAGGGGAGGAGAGGGAATCGGAGAGAGTGAGAGAGAAAGGGAAAGAGAGAGGGAGGGAGGGAGAGAGAGAGAGAACATGCTGCTGGTTTACTCCCAATGCCCAGAACATGTGGGGCTAGGCCAGGCTGAAGTCGGGAACCCTAAACTCAACCCAGCCCTGCCATATATAGTGGCAGGAGCCCAATTCTTGAACCATCACTTCTGTCTCCCAGGGTCTGCATAAATGGAGGCTGAAGTCAAGAACTGTAGCCAGGAATGGAATGTAGGCACTCTGATGTAGAATGTGGGTATCTTAATTGTCAGGCTTAACATCTGCTCTCTCTCACTTAGAAATTTGTCTTGCATTTCTCCAGGCAGTACTTACCCTCTGAAAAGGCTACCACTATCCTAAGATGTGGCATTATAGACTGGTTTTGCTGCTTTCTGGCCGCCATTCAAACATTTCCATCACCTTAAAATGCTTCCTTATGTTCATTTCTCCTGTTCCCATCCCCAGGCAACCACCAATCTGATTGCTGTCCCTATAGGTAAATGTATGTGTGTATATTTTCTTATTGTTAAAAATTTTTAAAGATTTTATTTATTTAAGTGGCACAGTTACAGACAGGGAGAGACAGAGAGAAAGGTCTTTCATCCCCAAATGGCCACAACTGTGGGAGCTGGTCCTATCCAAAGTCAGGAGCTAAGAGCTTTTTCTGGGTCACACAGCTCAACAGTAGCAAAGTGCGACGTATGACTTGTCAGTCACTGGGAAGAAAGGAACACAGGGTCACAAGACTGCCTTCACAATGAAGATTTTTATTGCTTACGCACCAGGGATATTATCACACTTTTCATCTACTTATTTATTGGGGTCAATACACTTATCAATATCAATAGGCTTATCAATCTTTGCTATTTAACACACTTATCAATAAACTCAACACAATTACTTAACGTGACTTAGCTATTTAACTTAGGTACTTAGCTTAACTACTATTTAACTTAACTACTTATCTTGACTTAACTACTATAATACTTAACTATCAGAGTAACACTATTTCCCGACTAAAGAACAACTGGAATCACCATTAATATCAATATCAATAATACTACTTGAACTTATATTCATTAATCCACAGATCACAGTATACAGTATTAGAGTAATTTCAAAGACTATCTAATTATAATAGCATTACTTTTAGTCATAGGGTCAAAGCATATATTACACATGACTAACGTTATTTGTAAAAGCTGCATTTTCAAGGCTCGTATCACAGTCACAAAAAAGAGTGACAGTGTTCAGAGTCCAGAGCTCAATGTCTCCGCAGAGAAGGATCTCGGATCAGTCACTTACAGGCAGGAAGTCGTGGGAAGGCTGTCACTCTGGGCAGTAGGCTCAAAGTTGCCAGGCAGATGGCAAGAGGAGAAGTTGGAGAGGTCCCCTGCTGAGAGGCCTGGTCAGGCTCTGTGGTCAACTCTGGCAGCAGGCTGATAAGGACTCCAGGCAAGGTGATGAGGCAGCATCTCAGCTGGAGTTTTGATCCTGTAGTCGCCTTGTGTTGTTTAGGAAGGGGGCTAGCGAGCTGGCTCTTCAGCTCCAAGTGCCAGGAGATCCAGAGGTTCACATGCACGAGCCTTTTGTCTGTTGTCAGCTTGTGCCACTATCTGCTCTGTGCAGAGTAATGGGCTGCCTCTTCAGCTCCAGATGTGTGGAGATCCAGAGGTTCACATTCACTGGGCCATAATCCCCAAGAGGATGGAGAGCAGCGCAAAAGGCTCCTTTTTTAATCTAATTTTTCCTGCAGCTTACCTGCTGTTCACGTGCTGTCCACACTTGACTCAGTCCAGTCAACTCAGAGTTCCCCGAGGTGTCACCAATCCGTTGTCTGGGCTCAGGTGTCTCCCACTCATGTCCAATCCTTGTGCGAGTTGGTGAGGTAACTCAAGCTATTGCCCATGGCACGCGATTATCAGGCTGTCCAGAGATGTCTGTCCAGTCTGATGAGGGACATTTTTCTAGCAAGCACTGAGCTTGACATAGTGATGTCATCAGCTTCTGGCTTAGCATGAGTGACTCCATTTTCTGTTACTTTCACTTTGTGGATAGTGGCAGTTTTTGACTCTAGATGTTTTCCTGTGGAGTTACCACAGTTTACCTCCTTCTGCTGGTCAGGTAAGCGGTGATCTGTGACTCTTTTGGGACTTCCTGTGGGATTCTCCACAGTCCCCGACATGGGTAGAGGGGCCCAAGCACTTGGGCCATTCTTTACTGCCTTCCTAGGCCATAACAGAGAACTGGATCAGAAGAGGAGCAGCTGGGACTAGAATCAGCACCTATATGGGATGCAGGCAGTGGCTTTACCCACTAAACCAAAGCCCATCTATATATTTAATACGATGAAAAATATATGAAGTACACATTGAAGTTGCTATACATAAAAATATATTTATCATTGTATATGTAATTTAAAATTATTTGTAAACATATGTATACACTAAAATATATATAAAATGAAATGGATACCTGTACAAACTATTAAAAACAAGACAAAAGTATAATTTAATATCATGGTTAAGTTTGCGGGAGAAGTGGTATGTAATCAGAGAGGGCCTCTGAGAGTGGTTTCTGAAGAATTGTTAATGCTGTATTTCTTGATTGGGATAGTAGATATATTAGTATTTGTTTTTCTTAAAGCCTTTAAAGTATAAAACCATGTTCTAAAGTTTATAGATGTGTACACATCATAAAATTATTAAAGATGAAAATAAAAGTATCTTTTAATTAAAGGAAGCCATAGCTTTTTTGGAACCCCTAAGTAATTTTATCAGATTCTATGCTGAAAGGGTACTAAAATCATCACCTATCAAGTTATTTAAGTTTATTACCTATTATGGTAACTATACAATTAAAGCAAATATAACTTAGTATGTTCTTTCTGAACTTTATATACATGAAATCACTCTTCAGGCAGGTGTCCTGGGAATTGCTGTTTTTGCAGTGTCAGCATATTGAGATGTGGCTTTGTTATATTTTTAATGTATTATAGTGTTCTAGTGTGTTGTATCACAATTTATAATTCATACTACTATTAATAGACACTTAAGGTGTATCTAGTTTTATAAATAGTGCTGCTATGATCTTTCAGTTATGTATCCTGGCACATATGGCAGGATGTATTTCCATAAGCTGAATTTCAGCACCATAGAGCATGTGAATGTTCAATTTCACTCAAAGTACTAAGCTGTTTTCAAATGACAGTCTCACCCATAATGGTTGAATATTGCTATATCCCACATCTTCACCAACATTTAACATCTCATTCTCTCATTTTCTGTGAAATGCCTTTTTTGTGTCTGTGTTTCTAGTAAGTTTTTTAATAAAAAAGTTTATTTTGAAAGTTCTTTATTATATATACTAATACTTTGTTGGCTTATGTATTGCAAATATAACCTTTCACTCTTGTGTTATCTTTTCAGAAACAGAAGTTCATAATGTGATTTAGATACATTTGTTCACCCTTTCCTTTATGTTTTGTACTGTCTAATAAATCCCTTTGTACCCTGAGATTTTTTTTCCTTTTATTCTACTGAAGGCCAGTGTTTAGATAGGCAAATTTCCTTGTGTATACTTTTGAGAAGTATGTTTATTTCTTATTTTCCTTTTTACTGAGGTTAAACTTGTGTTTATGTGGAAGATTATGCCTTAGGTTTTCCTTATCCTGTGCAAGCCCGGTGCTGCATCTCCTGTCTTGCACATGACCCTCAGAACAACCGAGAAGATCAGGAAAAAACATCCATGGGAAAAAAAATCCATGGCTGTTGGCTCCTGGATCCCACTTTTGGAGTCCTGATCGTCTCCAGGAAATAGAAATCTCACACTCTGCTTCTTAGCCCTCCTAGCAAAATTGAGCTGACACTCAAATTGCTGAAGAGTAATAACAAAGTACTTCTATTTTTTTTTTTTTTTTATTTTTGACAGGCAGAGTGGACAGAGAGAGAGAGACAGAGAGAAAGGTCTTCCTTTTGCCATTGGTTCACCCTCCAATGGCCGCTGTGGCTGGCGCGCTGCGGCCAGCACATCGCGCTGGTCCAAAGCCAGGAGCCAGGTGCTTTCCCTGGTCTCCCACATGGGTGCAGGGCCCAAGCACTTGGGCCATCCTCCACTGCACTTCCGGGCCATAGCAGAGAGCTGGACTGGAAGAGGAGCAACCAGGACTAGACTTGCTGGTGCCGCAAGGCGGAGGATTAGCCTATTGAGCCATGGCGCTGGC